CTATGAGTTGCAGGTGACTCAACAGCATATAACAGCAACAAATTCTGCATCACTGTGCACTGAAGAGAGAAAACAACACGATTTCTTGCAGTCTATAATCTGATTTTTGTCTCCAGGCCCATATTTTATGTCTTCTAGACCTTCTTTGTTTTCAACTTTTGAATTCCAATTACCAATTATTATTCCTACATCTTTATTGAATGCTTGATCAATTTCTATTAGAATAAAAATATTATCTTGAGTTAATATTACCTGAATTTAAAGGCCATCTCTACCCATCCTTAGCCCTTGGGTGAAACCACAGGGTTACACAGTTTGGTGGGTGGAAGGAGCAGGGAAGTAAATGGGAAGGACCCAGGTGAAAAGACAAGGTAATGATATACAAGGTCTACTGGCGATTAATTTTATAAAGCATAATGCATGAGAATGATGAATGAACACACTATGAATGAAGAATAGTGTGAGACGCAACATATATAAACTTTGTAAGCAAATAATTAATAATAATAATATTTTTAAAAAGCCATCTCAAGAATAGATTTGATGCACTAAACACTAATGACCAAGTAGGTGAGTTGTGGGATGATATCATGGAAATGAACCATGAAGAAAGTAAAAGGTCATTACAAAGAGAAAGGAGAAAGAAAAGAGCAAAATGGAGATCAGTAGAGACTGCAAAACTAGCTCTTCAAGGTAGAGAAGCCAAGACAAAGAGAAGAAACGAAGTAAGATAGTTGTAGAGAAGAATTCAAAGGCAGCTCAAGAAGTTAAAGGAAATACAAGAGTATGTGTATTAGAAAGACTAGTGTGTTGTGACCAAAAGGGAGAAATACACATATCATTTTTAAAGTTGAAAGAACTGAAAAATAATTCAAGCCTTGAATGCAAAACTGAAGAATTTATGGGCAAAATCTAGAATGATACAGAAAGCTTCAAAGGAAGAGGAAAACAGTACCCAGGATTCCTGTATCAAAAAGAATTGATTTACAGGGAGCCACTTCAGGATGTAACATATAAATAAGAACTAACAGCACTGAAAAAAGAAGTCCAAACTCCTCTGAAGCCATTGGGGGAGGGGAAACCCTCAAGAACAGATAAAATATCAGTTGAGGTGTTTCAGCAAACACAGCAGCCCTGGGAATGCTCACAAGTCTCTGCCAAGAAATTTAGAAGACAGCTACTGGTCCTGCAAACTGGAAGAGACTTATATTTCTTCCCATTCCAAATAAAGGACAATCTAATGGAGTATGGACATTGTCTAACAATATTATTAGTATTACAAACAAGTAAAATCTTGCTGAAGATCATTGGCTGAAATAGCACGTTGACAAAGAATTGCCAGAAATTTAACCTGGATTCTGAAGAGACAATGGAAAGAGGGATTGGACTACTGATTTTAAATGGACTTTGGCTGAAAGCAGAGAATAGCTGAAACACATTACTTGTGTTTTATTGACTATGCAAAGGCATTTGGCTGTGTGCAATATGAAAAATTCTAGACAACATTGAGAATAGAAATCCCAGAGTATTTGATTTATCTCATGCAAAATCTATATGCACATCATGAAGCAGTTGTTTGAATAGAACAAAGGGATACTGAATGGTTTAAAATTAAGAAATGTATGCATCAGAGTTATACCTTTCTTCATACCTAACTGTTCAACCTGTATGCTCAGCAAATGATTTGAGAAGCTGAACTATATAAATAGGAATGTGATATCAGGTTTGGAGGAAGATTCAGCAACAACCTGTGTTATGTAGATGAGAAAACTTTGCTTGCTCAAAATGAAGAAGACTTGAAGCACTTAATGACGAAGATCAAAAACTTCAGTCTTCAGTATTAATTACATCTTGAAGCACTTAATGAAGAAGATACAAAACTTCAGTCCTCAATATTAATTACATCTTAATATCAAGAAAACAAAACTCTTCATCCCTGGGCCAATAGCCAACACCATGATAAATGGAAAAATGTTTGAAGTCGTCAGTGATTTCATTTTACTTGGATCTACAATTAACACCCATGGTAACGGCGGTCAAGACATCAAAAGACATGTTGCATTGAGTAAATATGCTGTCAAGGAGTTCTTTAAAGTACTAAAAAGCAAGGAAGTCACTTTAAAGGCTTAAGATGCCCACACATAAGCCAAAAATATTTTGAACTGCTTTGTATATATTTGAAAGTTGAACAGTTCATAAGAAAGCCCAAACATTAATTGATACGTTTGAGGTGAAATCTTGGGGAAGAGTATGGGGTATACTTGTAATTTCCAAAAGAATTAACACATCTGTCTTGGGGGAAGTGCAGCTATGATGTTCTTTAGAGGAAAGAAAGGTGAAACTTTGAGTCATACTTGGGCATGGTGTAAGGAGGTGCTAGTCTTTTGAAAAAGTCACCATGTTAGGAAAGGTCAGTGGAAGAAAAGAAGACTTGCAACAAGAAGCACTCACCCAAGGACAGCAACAAAGGGTTTGAGCTTGGCAGAGTTGTGAGGATTGCTCAGGTAGGGCAAGATTTTTATTTGTCATACATCATAGTTTATTTGAGGGTATCTAACAGCAGCAACAATGAATAGGGATGATAGAAGGATTGATGCCTTTGAGCTGTGGTGTTGGAGAAGAGCATTGAACATCCCATGGACAGCCAAAAGAACAAGTAAATATATCTTGGAGAGGATGCAGCCAGAGTAGTCTTTGGAGGCATAGATGATGAGGCTTTGCCTCACATAGTTTGGGCATGTTGCTATGAGAATTTATTTCTTAGAGTTGGTTATGATGGTTGGAACAGTGGAGGGTCTACAAAGGAGAGAAAAACCTTCTGCCACAATGGTCTCTAACATGCCAGGAAGTGTGAGGATGGCACAGCATAGGACAGGGTTCAGATCCATTGTTCATAGGATCACTACAAGTCATCTTGACTCGACAACATCTAACAAAACAACAATAATAACCTCTGTTTAGTGGCATCCTGAGCATTTTGGTATACGGGATCCTCTCATGATTTATGTAGTATAAACTCTCTGTAAAAGGGTGTTGTTCCCCCCCTTTATAATCTGATTGTTGCTGTTGTTGTCTACCGTCGAGTTGAACCAATCCATATCTGACCCTCTGATGAGTTTCAGAGGCAGTTAATCATACTAGAGGAGATTGCCCATCCTTCTCCCGGAGAACAGCTGGAGGCCTCAAACCACATGCCTTCAGGATTGTAGCGCAGTTTCTTGCCACCAGAACTTCCTATAATCTGGTCAGTAACCAAAAAATATCTTTAAAATGATTATAAGTGCATGTCTACATGGATAAGTAAGACTATCATAAAAGGAAAAAGATGAAATATTTCAGGAGTTAGGGAAATCATAATGAGAAAATACCTAATGTGATAAAGTATGTAATTTCAACAGTAGCTATTTCTGAATACGAAGCTCTGGCATTGTTGTCCATAAATCTGGCACTAATCTAAAGGCAGATGGTTTGAATCCCCCAGCAACTCTGGGGGACAAAGACAGGCAAGGTCCTTCCATGTGATTTATAGTCTTTGCTGAAAATTTGCTGGAGGATTGGCTATGAGACAGCTACTATCTGGCAGCAATGAGTTTAAGTTTGAAGTATTTCTGAATGCAACTTTTAAACGTATGAAATCTACATAACTACTTTTTTAAAAAGTGAAAATATTTCTGTTTATTTCCATTTAAATAGAAAAACTTTTATACAGTTAGAAAATGAACCAACCATTTCCTCACCTTATAAATAATAATTAAAAAGAAAATAATTTTCACTAGAAAATGGGCTTACAGTTAGGAAGGGAAAATAATAAGATTTCTGGCCAGGCTGAAAATGGAAAGAAAATGATGGTTATATGGCAGAAAGGGAGTTACTAAATCTTGGTTTCTTTGCTTCACTGTGCCACAGACAACTAGAACAGGGTAGGGGGATTGAAGTGTTATGTCCACAGTGAATTTTAGAACACTACTTTAAAAAAAAAACCACCCGAAAAATATTGCTATGAGGATTGTACAGGCTTTAATATAAGCCACATGCCTCACAAGATCAGTATGTGACTTCACTAGAGACTATTTACAGTACTTGCTTTCAATATAGCTAAAAATTTAATAAGAGCCATTGGAGCTTGAAGTTTTCCTTCTATTTTCTACAAAATCCACCAAGTATAATAACTAAAAGCTGAACTAGAAGGAAGCAGTCTATCTTAGGAGAAGCCATCATCTTAAATGTAGTGAGCTATGCTTAGTGGGGACTAATAGAATTTTATAATCTTGTGACTGTGTTTCCATGGACCAGCAGAAGCATAAACAAATCTGTTTTGAAGGTACAGATTGAACAACCCTTAGAAGAGAGCTGGTGAGAGTTCCTCATACTTTGCACATGCTACCAGGAGAGCCAGTCCCTAGAGAAGGATATATCTTTGTAAAGTAGAGGTTCAGTGAAAAATAAAAAAGAGGAAGACCCTCAACAAGATGGATTGACACTGTGGTTTCAACAATGGGCTCAAACATAGTCATGATTATGATGACAGCACAGGATGTGGTAGTGTTTAGCTCTGTTATACATGAATGAGAAGCAGCAGAGCAGCACCTAACAGCACTTTATCAGCAGTAGTCATCTAACCTCTTTACACCTCAGCTTTCTATCTATAAAATGGCAAGAATGGTACTTCTTCACTGCTGGCATGAGACTAGTAACTGAGATAAGATGGTTGAAATGCGTCTACTGTACAGATACAAGCTATTGTCCTGTTATTATTGTTGTAGTTATGTGCTGTAGAGTTGCCTGTGACTCATAGCAAACCTATGCACAACAGCTCTGGAGCCTGTCTGTCCTGAGCCAGTCTCTCTGACTCTGACACACCTCCCCCCATTGCCCTAGTTACTGTATCAATCCATCTCATGTGAGGTCTTCCTCTCCTGCGCTGTCCCTCCACACCTCCCAAGCATGATGTCCTTCTCCGAGGACTGGTGCCTACTGGCAACATGTCCAAAGTGTGTGAGACAGAGTTTCAGAATCCTTGCCTCCAAAGAGAAAGTTGGTTTCATCCTCTTCAAGACAGGCCTATTTGTTTTCTTGACAGTCCATGTCAACACTCTTCTCCATCACCACAACTCAAAAGGTGTCAATTCTTTTTTTCTGTCATCCTTAGCCATTGTCCAGCTCTCTGATGTATTTACCAAGACCATGGCCTGGATCAAGCACATCTTAGTCTCTAGACTGCAATAATTGCTTCTCAGTACTCTGGAAAAGTTCTTGATAGCAGATTTTCCCTGGGCAGTTGATCTTTTGATTTCCTGACTGCTGATGCTAAGAGTATGTGTTTGTCAGATATTGTTCTAAAGCTAAGTATTATACAGAGTAGGAAGATGGATTGACCACTCAGAAATATAACAGGCCTTCGAAAACCCTATATACAATAAAGTTGTTGTTGTTATTATTATTAATAAGTCATTACTGTCGAGGTAGAATTGACCCACAGTTGACCTTACACTGGACTTCAAAGGCCATATTTTTTCAAAGGCCCATATTTTTTTTTATTTTTTTTTGCACAGCCACTAGTGGATTAGAATTTTTAGAGAAGTGTTGGGCCTTTGGTTTGGTAGTGCAACTCCCAGTTCATCCAGAGTTCCTTCCTAATAAACACTAATAACAAACTCCTGTGGTCCATGAAGAGTTGTGCTACTAACCCAGAAACATCGTCCCTCTGGCGATTTGAATCCACGTGTGACTTCACTGGAGAAAGATGAGCAATCTCTTGCTGCATGACTTACAGTCTCCAGAAGTCGCCTAGAGGGCCAGCTGCAACTTGGTTCCAACTCAATGACTGAGTTGAGTAAAAAGTATTATTTTAAAAAGGAATAAAATTCAAGAAACAGTTGTTTCCTCCTACAAATTTACAGGTAGATTCTTTCTTGGGTTTTTTTTGACTATCAAATTGATTTCTATTCATAGGAAGCTTACATGACAAGTATGGTAGCCTCATGGGTTTCCTAGGGTATACAATTTAGAAAAGGAACCCTGGTGACATGTTGTGTGCTTTGGGTGGAAACTGACATAAAGCTGACCCTCCAGCAAGTTTTCAGAGGCTGTAAATCCGACTGGAGATTACCTTTCCTTCTCTAGCGAAACAGCTGGTGGATTTGAACCATGTGTCTCTGGTACTGCAGTGCAGCTTCTCACTACTAGGCGACCAGAGTTCCATACTGTGTTACTGTGGCCTAGTAACTGCTAATGAACCAAGAGGTTGGTAGTTCAAATTCACTAGCCAATCCATTTGTGTTGAGATTTACGGATTCTAAATTCTGATACCAGATTACCTTGAGTTGGAATGAGTTGGCTGCGAGTTAGGGTTTAAAAAATTGATAACCTTTAGGGTGAAGACTCAGACAGCTGTGATTATCTGCTCAACTTAATTCAACTTAACTCCTTGCTGTTGAGTCAGAACTGTCTTATCGCTCCTGTGGATCTCCAAGACTAAATAACATAGAAGGAGATTGCCCATCCTTTTCCCATGGAGCTGCTGGTGAATTCCACACCAGAGAGGCTACACTTCTGGGCTAGTGCACCACAGCTCTCTTTGGCTATCTGCTAGGGGCTGAAAACCAACAGTCATTTTGCAGTAGCATCTGCAGAATAGGAAGCTTTGTAAGACAGTTCTGTTCTCTTCTCTAAAGATCTCTGTTACATGTTAGTTAGCTGTCATTGAGCCAACAACGACTCATGGTAGCTCTATGAACAGAGGATCTGAACTTTGTCCTATCCTGTGCCATCCTCAAGATCTCGGCTACTCTTCAATGAACCCAGTTGTTACAATCACTGTGTCAGTCCATCATGTTGAAGGTCTGCTTCTTTCTCTGCCACTCCACCTTTATTAGCACGATGTCTTTTTCCAAGGAGTGGTCCCAGCTGACAGCATGCCCAAAGTACGAAACATTTCACCACACATGCCTCTAAGGAGCACCTCGTTGCATCTTTGTTCTTTTGGCAGTCTACTGGCTATTCTGTGCTCTTCGCCAACACCCCAATTCAGTCATTGATTCTGCGTCAGTATCAACTTCAGAGTTGTGGGGCGGAAAGGGGGTGGCGTTTACTCTTCATAAGAGCAGGTCCTCAGAACTTTTCAGGTTAGCACCCCAGAGCTGACACCTTGCTAGTAGGGCCTAGCAAATGGACGCTAGTCCGTTCACAGAGCAAAGCAGAAAGAGCGCAGGGCACAGGCCTCCTTCACATTCCACATCTCCAGGGAAGTGGCCCTCATTTATGACTGGAGATTTGTACAACACATGTACCCTTGTACATCGCTCACTGCGCATCAGTGAGTTTGATCTCAGTAAAATGGGGCATCGCTAGTTCACAGGAAACCGCCTCCCCTCCTGCTGCATTCGGGCTGGAGCGCCGCCCACCTCTTCCCGCTGCAGCTGGTCGCGGGTCAGGTCTCGCTGCCTCTCGCTCTCCCTCTGACTCTGGTGCTGCTCCTGCTCCAGCTTGCTGAGGAACCTTTCCGAGGCTGCCAGTTTCGCTTTCAGCTCTGCAACCTGAGGAAATCATTGACAGACAGTTTCAGAGCCTTCTTCCCAAGTTCACACATCATCCACAGAGTTCCAAACTTTGCTTTTGGGGACAGACAGGAATACCCTCAATCCTCAAAGTTATTTACGGTTCACATAGATTTGGCTATTTACATTTAAAATGCAGCTTTGTTGGGCTGGCAAAACAAAGACTTTGCCAAAACACCTGCCTGTCCCTCCCTTTGTTCAAACCATGCCACTTCTAAAGGCATTAGTAAAGACTTATTTTTTAGGAGGGCTCCTATGCGTGTGTCGTTCCATTTTCAGTTCTCAGGATGTGCCTTGCATGAGCTGCAAAGGGCAGTGGAAAAGTAGATAGAGTTTTGTTGACTTTATACCTCAGGAATAGAAAAACAACCACGGCCTTCAATTCCTCAGTAACCTGTGGTTCCACTATCAGATGACTTTTTGGTAGCACTTCACCACAGCGATCAGGGATTCTGTCTCTAAAGATTGCAGTCCAAAAATATAGGCAGTTCTGCATGTCCCAGTGTTGCTGTGAATGGAAATGCCAAGTTCGCTGGGAGAGTGACTACAGTTTAGTGTCTGAAGAGATGTGTTTTTTTAGAGATGAGAATGAAATATGTTAACCCTTAACCTTCACACTTCTGTAAGCTATTCAAGAGAGCAGCCTACATCCTCTTGCAAAACATCCCCTTTACAATCAGGGGACCCCGACTGTTGGAACCTGAAAAATCCAAGGCTCAATCACCCCCAAGCTACGAGGCACTTTATTCTGTATCTTCTACAGTTAATACTGCTGAGTACAATGAGGAAGGAAAATACTGCATTACTCACTTGTGGTCAAGTTTCTGAATTCTGAATGATTTAAGGGAATTTCTTTTCTTTTTCCTGTGACAGAATGCTTTATAATCATAAATGGACTTTTACCTATTAATGGATCTATTTTCCCCCAAAAAGATATTTTCTCACCAAAGCAAAAGTTTCTTGTCAGCATATATGCTCTAGAGAGTAGAGGGGATGCCCCACTTTCTTTGACACTTTCACTATTACCACTTTTTGTTTCTTTATCTGTGGAAAGAGCTTATGCTATCTAGTTACAGAATTGGAGACCTAGCCTTAGATAAAAGAGATTACCTCTTGGGCAACCTTGAAGGTTTTTGCTGTTAGAAATACAACTGACAAGAAAATTTCCACTGAAGATGAAAAATGTGCAGAAAGGAGATTGAACCACAGCTATGCTATTTTTAGCACTTTTCTTTAGCTATGACATTGTTCATTAATCTTCACACTAAAAAGTGGGGTAATACACTTTGCACCTTCCATCCTTTCATTTCTCAACAGTTAAATATCCACGGATTTCTTTGAGGATCTGAAATCAATGAGTCTTCTCACACTTGGCCCCACCAGGATTATTGACTAAAAAACTTTGAAACATAAAGAGGTGCTTACTTTTCTTTCATATAGCTCTTTCATACTTCTAAATTGATGGTCCCATTGCTGGTTAACTTCCAAGAGCTGCAATTATCAAGGGTTAGTGAATAAATAAAGGATTTATGTCCATTTGAGATATGGTCAAAATAAAATCATGCTTTGGAAACAATGGATGAAGACAAGATTTTTTCCCACACAATCTGGTTGGGCTGAGCTATTGTAACTGGTCACACTCATACCTGTTCTTGACGAGGATATATGTGAATAAACCTATTTACATCTTGGATATGACTAGCTAGCTAAACAGTTTATCTATGACTTTCAAGTTTTCTTAGCTACTTGGATTTTTACCTTCTTTGTTATAATCTAGGCAGAATTTGGTGAAAATGTGAAGGCATTTACAGTCTTTTGTAAGATGTATTACTATAGAAAGGTTAGTTTTGCTAGATATTTACATAATTTTCCAAGTATTTATTTGATTATTATATGGATATTTTCCAGGTTTTATTTTTAACTTTTTAAAAAAATTTTATTATTTTTTTGTGTGTGTGTACTGTCAAATCAGACCTGACTGGTACAGGAGGAGATTGCCCCTCCTTCTCCAGCAGAGAATCTGGTGGATTTGAACCACATACCTCTGGGATTGCAGTGCAACTTCTTGCCACTAGGCCACCAGAGCTCCCTCTATTATTATTTTTTTTAATTGAGTTTATAGTAGCCGATTTCAGACTCCATTAGTTGGTAGTTGTTTGGTTATTTTTAAACTTTTGTAATAATTTACCTTTCAAAATAACACATGATTTGTCATATATATTAAGCTAGTAGATAGTATCACCTTTTGGGAAGTATACATTTTCATGGATTCAGATTTAAAAATATTTTGGAAAAATATTTTGGCTGCAAACAATTTGAAACTATTATAACCATGTGCTAAATATAAGGAACAAAAACCACTGTGGTCTGTAGCCTACTTTCCTTGTAGAGGAAGATTAGCATGTTCATCTGACATTTAGAGAGGCTCAAACAAGTATCCAAGTAAGAAGACTACCCAAAAGATAATCTCATGATGATAAAATAGGGAAAGACTTGCTCCTAATCATTTTGTTATTATGTGCCTTCAAGCCAGTACCAACTCCAGGAAGTGACCCTCCAGCAGGAGGGTAAGCTGTGACTTACACAGGAGAAGATGGCCTATTTTTGTCTTTTGGAGCAGATGGTGGATTCAACTAGTACTAACTATAAAACAAAATACTTAACTCAAAGTGTCACTTACTAGGTAATGCTTATGCTTAGATAATATTCAGTATAAACGCTTAGATAATATTCAGTATAAACTGTACAACAGAATTCTGGTGGCATTTGTAGCTCAAGGGTACTTAACAACAACAACAACAAGACTCCATGAGTGTTGCTCTGCCATCCCAAAAGGTGACACCTCTCTAGTGGTTCGAGCCCACTAGCAGCTATGAGGAAGAAAAAGAGGCATTCTTCTTCCATGCAGTATATTCAACCTCGACTCAATCTGCTGAACGTCCCACTTAAAGGCAGAGAGTGAGTTGATATAAAGATAACGGATTGTTTCAGATTTTAGGCATTAACATTTCTATCCTATACTACTACTTGTGACTAGAGCAATTTTTTAGATCATGCTATTCCATAAAATATCAAAAGAAATAAAGTGCAATATAGAAGAGAAAATTAGAGATGTTAATACATACAATGGTTTAGAAAATGTATTATAAGCTGGCAATAAAACCTTAAATTGTTACTTTCCACCCATTCCCTGTCAGAAAAGAGTAAGGAAATACTAACATTCAATAAATTCAGAAAATACAGCTCACTTAGAATAAGATCTATCCTATTTCCAAGAATTCTTTGGAAACAAGCATTTCTTATGATATCAAACCCATTCCACTGCCAATGAATTAACGTCTGAAGCACAGGAGTCTGTAGTAGTACGATGCTGAACTGTAAACTTTATAGAAGCAAACTATTGCATCTTTCTCTCATGGCCTGGTTGGTAAATTTGAATTGCAGATCTTTTGGTTAGCTACTAAATAACTTAACGACAGTGCCACCAGAGAGCTCCCAGTGTCTTTTTTGGGTAAGCAAAATGAATAAGTCATTGTTGTCAAATTGGAACTGTTTTATAGCCGACCTTCCAGTGTATTTTTGGACAATATTGGGTTAGTAGTGCAACTCCCTATGGATGACCACTAGAGCTCCCCTGATTTTAGATAGTGTTTCTTAACTCTTGAGCATTTGGGCTCACAACTCATGGCACCATCCTTCCTTGAGTCAATTGCACTTGCAAGTCTTTTGAGTTTCATGGTGGGTTAAGTTGCTAAGGTTAAAGGGTATATGTGATATATTAAAAAAGTCTATGAGGAGGAAACAATCAGCCAAATATTAAAGAAACTAGGGTTATGACTACTGGGGCTCATTACCTTGTTATTTCTTGTCTGTCATTGTGCAAACACAGAGGGACCAAATGAGAAACACGTAGGTGAATAACAAGAAAGCATTTGTTCTTAAGAAAATACACTGAAATTCTTACCTAACATGGGAGGGACTGGAGAGCTTTATGCTAAGTGAACTAATCCAGTCTCATAAAGACAAATACTGTATAGGACCATTATTGTAGAGTGTGTCCGGGGGCCCAAGGGGGAGGGAGTGCTTAAAAATAGGGCCACATAATTTGATGGGTGGAGGGAGGGATTGGTAACGAAAGGGGAAAGAAAGGCCTGGTGTGAAAAACAACGTATATGAAGATATGAGCTTTTTATGGAAACCAGTATAAAATAAAAATATTTTTAAAGAAAATACACTGAGGCAAATACTATGATTCAATAACACAAATAAAAGGCATTAGGTTAAACAATCTCTATTTTCTACATTAATCAAGGACATGAGGTTCAACTAAATTACCTCTTTTCTCTGCTTTTCCAAGCATTTTATCTTTCGTTCAAGAGAATTTGTTAAATTCTTTTTTCCTGATGATTGAGTACACTTTAGAGAAAAAAAGAAAGAAAAAAAGTGAAACAAAACAATCCCCCAAAGAAACAGGAAAAATAGAATCCTTAATTAATCCCACATATTTTATCAACTCTAATGTGATCTGATCTTTTGGCTAAAACTCTAATTCTAGCAGTATCAATCTTACACTTAAGTCTTTCATTGAGACCTACTGACAAATTGGATAGCTATTACATATTTCAATGTATTGATCAATTACCAAAACAAATCTTTAACAAATTATAAAAATTTTTATAATAATCATCCCCCTAAAAGACATCAAAACAGCCACCAAAACACATTGCTATCGGGTCAGTTATGACTTATAGCAAGCCCATAGGACAAAGTACAACTATCCCATAGGTTTTCAAAGGTCGTACGTTATTTTAGAAGCATACTACAGACACATTTCCCCCTACATAAGCAACTCAGAGATGAAAATTTCACTAATTTTAATTTCAAGGCTTTAAAAACAAGCAAAGAAACAAAACATGACATTTCACAGTTTAATAACTACTGGAGAAGTTAGGTATATTTTATAGATATATTTTATATACTGGTATAGTTAGCATTTTGACAAAGTAATTTCCTGTAGATGTTCCCCTATTGCCAGTCAGACCTAGCAAAAGTGACAAAACTATCAAGACGTAAGAACACATAAGAGCTAGAAGGAAATGGATTCTAAAGCTATAGAGAATTGTTGTTGTGTACCATAAAGCCAGAACCAACTCAAAGCTAACTTAAAAACCATGATGATGAAGAACATCTATAGAGGTGGATGTAGATTGTGCTATAAATGCTCATTGATGCTGCTGTAGTTTAAACATTGGTTTGTAGCTAAAAGACCAGCAATTTGAACCCAATAGGTGTTCTGAGGGAGAAAGCTGAGGCAGCTGGGATATCGAAGGGATAATGCTCTACCCTTTATAGAGTTGCTGTGGATTTAAATTAACTTGATGAGGGGGAATTTTTTTGGGGGGAGGTGTAGTTGTGCCCTTTGAAGTAACTTTCTAGATCACATTTAGATTAACAATGAATCATCGACTTAGTGAAATGTAAAATTGCTTTAATTTTTTTTTCCTTTTCCCTCCTGAAGGGAGGATATGTTTAGTTGAAGAAAGCATTAAAAACTCAACTCTATTTCTCATCTTACTAAGTTGACTACCAATAAAATCCAATTGAGTAAAGAAGTGCTTTCTCTATTATAACTCTTGTTACAAACTAAAGGTAATCCCTGAAACTATATTCTATTTCAGGCTATGAACTGTAGTGTTCTTTAAAGGTATCCCTGAACAATTGAGAAATTTTTTTCAACGTTTTGGTCTTTGTGGAAAACTTTAAAGGAACTAGCTCTTTTGCAATCATTATGAAATTTCAAGATGCTTTTTCATTAGAAATAATTTAGTAAACAGTAAGAACTAATTTAGTAAGCAGTATATTTCTCCGTTTTCCTTTTTCATGTATACTTTTGGTTTTTAGAATTTAATATTTTATATACTAAAGCTGTGCAGTGCAGTGAATAATATGTTCAAACTCACCATGCACTCCTCAGAAGAAAAACAAACTTTCCCTTCCTGTAAAGATTTATAGTCTGGGATGCCTGATGGAGGGTTTCTATATATTGATATTGTCTGTTCAGCAGTGGATTTGGTTTTAAGGATTTAAAGGTTAGTTTTCTTATTTTTTTTTCTTGCCTAGACCCAAAGCATAATTAAGGCATCATTAAGAGATATTTCTGCATGGACCAGTAAATTCAGATGATCATATTTGCTCTTGATCTTATGTATTTGGTTTGTCTGAGCAGCAGGAATGACATCCAATCCCAGGTGACAAGTATACTGGGCTATGGAATAGGGTTTCCCCACTTTTGAGGAACGATTTCCTGTTTACTCTCCATCAGAATAAACATTAGATACCTTTGATTTGGAAAGTAATTTGAGCCAACTTTGCTTAGTGCACATGGAGTCTGGCTTGTGGCTCTCACCATGAGAGGACATCACAGTCACCTTGGAAACTTGCTAAGAACAGAGTCAGAATTTCCCAGGTTGGATCTGGAACACCTCTATTTCAAACCAACTTCCCGGGTTATTACAATTCACATTGTAAAGGTGAAGAAATCCCATTCCAGGAGAAATATGAATTCTTGGTTCTTAAAAAGTGTCCCTTACTTTTATAAAGTAGGAGAAAAACCCACAACCCAACAACTACAACTGGAATTTATGTTCAGGTATGTGCATTTCTTTCTTGTTTTTTTAACCTTCATTAATTTTATCACAAATATGTTAACATAGTAAAAAAAAAACAAAAAAACCCAAATATGTTAACATAGTTTTAATTTTATGACAAAGAATTATTGAAAACCTAGCTTCTAAACCTGAAAGAGAATCTCTTTGCAACACAGATGTCTCAAAGGGGAAAGGGAAAAGATGGAAAAGATAGTTAATATCATTTTCTCACCAAGGATTTCTCCACATTATAGTGGGTGGTTCTTATGTCTTAGATATTTATAAAAATAAAGTAAAAATCAAGAAAATAAAAAATGAGCTTTTCATTTTTATG